AGTGAACTTTGTCAGGCACAATTTTGCACTGTACTCAAGACTACATGTTAAAGTAGGATCAAAAAGTGACTCATACGGGTTTCTGCACAATAAATAGCTCCAGTTTTTGCTTATGTGCTGTTAATTCCATTTAACGTAAGTCTTAAAAGCATAATACTGTATTTCTTTATTCTCTTCTCTCTTGTTAATACTGCCTTTCATTATTTCTTTTTTTTTTTTTTTTGGTCAGAATGTCGATTACATGCTGTGCTGCAGACTGATAGCAGTTAGCAAAAGTCTGAGCAGTTGAAAGAAAACATTCTTGGACACATGAACAAAACAAACATTTTGGATGTGGCAGAGAGAGAAATAGCGACAGAACAGTATGAACAAGAAAATAATTTCTGAAAGATCATGCAGTTTTTCCCTCTTTACAGCATCTGTGCTTCTGAGCACAAGAACAATACATGAGCTCTAAAAAGCTTCTAAGAGAAAGCCAAAGGCAATGCTGAGTGCTGAAAAGTACTGTTTTTCCAAAAAGCATATAAAGGATTTCTGGGTTACGACAGTATCTTAGGAAAATGGTTACCCTCTGCTTCTCTTACTACAAAGCTGTTGTTCAGGATTTTGGACTGAGCTCTGACACAATTTGTGTCAGCACCGGTAGGTTTTCTCTTGTAGAAAAGAAGCTACAATGAAGTGGTCTTGCGGATTAACTACCAGTTATAAATATCTACTGCTCACAAAGTGATGACACACTTGAAGTCTTTGGGAGCTTTAAAAGCAGTGCCATTTAGTACTCAGGTTCTATCTGTGCTTCTCAAAGGACTGTTTTAAGCAATTTTTCAACCGTTTGAGGAAGTCTTCTGTGACATATCACTGTGAACCTAGCCCATCATCATTTCTATTGATTATTTTCATAGGACCATGTGGTGAGTTAAAGAGCAGAAACAGTTTCTGTTCCTATCAGCATAAAAAACATTTTGTTTCATCTGATTTGAATTGTGCATGTATCAGAAACAGATCAAATGTATACCAAAGAATTTGTAAGAGCTGATTTGGAGAAGGGCTACCTGGCTGACACTCCAGCCAGGTAACGATATAGGAAAATGAAAAGAATACGTAAAGTTCATTTTGCTATCTCACCAAAAGAGAAGTGAAAGAACTGTATGCAACTAAGTTTTGAACTTAAACCTTAAACTTAAAGTTTAAGACATGTGAGATCTAGCTACAGTGAAAAATTTTTTTTACCCATCTGTGCTTGACAAAAGGAGGACATAATTTTCCTTTTGGATATGGATCAGGTTACACTTGCCCATAACATTTTCACCTAAAAGCTAGAATGTTGTAATGCTCTTTACATGCAAGGTATTTGCAGACCATATGGAAATTGAGTTAGTGAAAACATATCTGCCCAAGTGTTAAATGGAACTCCACAATGAACATTCCTAAGCTTAAATATGTGACCTATACATACTGCATGTTTGTTTCCAATTAGATTCTATAAGGGTAATTTTAACCTTTGCAACTTCTGTTCTCTGAGGTATTGAAAAAGCTGCGTTGATGAACCACGGAAGCATTGGACTGGTTTTGGTATATTCCGTTTGAAGCTATTTGCATTTAGTTGCAAGTCAGCCATTTTTTAAATCTGTTGCTGAGGTCATTTTTCACTTATACACTTATTCCAGGAAGTTAGTCAATCATCTGAAATACAGACAGTCAGAAGAGTAAGATGTCTTTGAAGAAAGAACTGATTTTCGGAAGAGGAGCAAAAATGACAGTAAGTAGACAAAAAAGTTTTACCGATAAATACCTTCTGCAATATCAGATTACTACTTGATAGGGTTCCTCTGCTATCAGTCATGTCTGGGAATTTCCAAGAACGAACAAGAAAAATTAATAAGAGCGAGAAAGCTCCTAGTCTTTGGTCTAGTACTGCTCAGACACTGTAGCTAGTTCATTTCAATTCCACTCAAAAGTTAAAAAGATACCGCTTAGATATTAAATATCATTTTCTTAAACAGTAAACCAACCAAAGTCCTACACGGGATAAAACAAGAGTATAACTCAAAGGAAAATGGGGTGGCATGGTATGATTGCAAATTTTCTCATCAAAAGTTCGAGACAGCTCAACTATTCCAAAGAGGTGAAACCATAAGTACATTGTGTACTTCTTTACAAATATATGTGAATATCACCTATCTCACAACATCAAATCTTTTGGAAAGCGGGCATAATTAACCTGTTTTAGAAGTATTAGAATTAATTTTCTTTCCTCTCCCTTTTCTATTGGGATCCTTCTCCAACATGTAAAACCTAAGTTACAGAACTGTTCATATTATTAAGTCTGTAATTATACAGTAATTTTTACACACACACACACACACACAAACACACACACACACACACACACACACACACACACACAAAAGCACCACCAAAGAAAGCTAACAACTTCCTCTGCTATCAAGGATGCCTCAAAGCATTCAGATTTTAGCAAAATCCAGTAGGAAAACGTTTTATATCACATTTTTAAAGACAGTAAGAGGAATGAAGGTATTTTTATGTTTCAAGCTTGAATAATGAAAAGAAAATATACTTTATAGAATACAAGATATATTTATGTTAACCAATTTAAAAAATAGACAGCAACTCCAGATTTGATTAAATAAAGTTTATTTGCTACTTTGTAATTGTTATAACTAAAATCTTTGCAAATAAAACAATGCAACAAATTACTTCATATAAAACTTCCAAGCTAATTACTGCTTGCCAAGAAAAAAATAAATCATCAAAGCCCCACCAGTTTTCTCTATACTCACGTATCTTTAATCACTCCACTAAAAATCTGTTTTGCAGAGTCATTAAATATAAGGCACTTTCAAGGGATAAGACCACCAAGAGCTTTCAGGAGACAATGACGGGAAATTTCTCAAAATAAACCACGTAATGGACCAGCAGAGAATTTAGAATTCTCTTTTAAAGGGAACTTAACTAGGCAAGTTAGTGTAGATCAAGGGTCTCACACAGGCCACAGAAAAAGAAAGGATGAAAGGAAGTAGACAATGACTATAGCAGCAGCTCTGTGAGTTCCCTGTTAAGACGGAAAACTAAATAATTTAGGAGGGAGCAGAAATGTAAGTCCTGAGGCATGTGGTATTCAAATTTAAGTTGTGCTTGGATTTTCTTTTACAGATCGCTATTTCAATCTCTTGGGTAGAAAACACTCGTTCTTCAAATTGAAGAATAAGAGAGCAATTGAAGGGATGGTTAGACATAACATTAAGGAAAAGCGATGGGAAAGAGGGTGCTCATCTTGGAACTAAGCGTTTGGTTCGTTAACAGTTACTCCTGAGACAGAATTGAATGGCTGAGTCCTAAAAGGGACAAACTTGGAACAGCAGTCCAAGTGGGCATCATAAGAATGCTACTGGCTAAAATATCATTTCTCTATCTGGACAGGCAATGACAAAAACTCATACTGCCACACTGTGATCAGATTCCTGTTGCCTCTGGCTTTGTCACATGCTGGGAACTGTTGGAGCCTTGCTCACACTATGATTATGACCAAAAGAGTTGTAATAGCATTGGTGAAGAATTTTTTAAATCTACAAAAGAGCTCAGGTGAAACCAAGCCAATTTTATTTGTACTGTATAAAAATTACAGTGCAATTAAACAATTGTCACACAAAAAAGGATAATATTGCTACAAATTTTGCAATTAACTTTGCTGAAATAAAACACTTAAGAATGGAATCCATCAAAAAACCTTACAACCATCTCATTCAGTGAATAGCTCAACTCATTAACTTCAGGTGTCAGTAAGTGGGAATAGCAACTTTCTCGTATTTATAAAATAAATAGTAAAAAGTACCTGAAGCCTCTGAAAATTACTGCACTAGAGTGTCATTCTTTGTATTAAACAATAACAAGACAAAAAAGGAAAAGGCCATTTAGAAGATTTCATTCACAAGGTGCAAATATTTCTGTTATTAAGAATAAAACAGGACCATGTTACAGGGAATAACTAGGCCATAGAAAGACTGATATTTAGATAAAAAGTATGTTTAATGGAAGGAGTTTTTCCCCAAATAATTTGAACACAAAGCTGTGTTTTTTCTACTTAGATCTTCATACATTATCACATTTGCCTGAACAACTTTCTTCCCCTCAGTAAACAGTAGCTCTTTGAGTATAGTGTATAAAAATAGTTCAGGAAGGAATATGTTCCTCTGGATACATGATGTGGGAGCAGTGCATGCTTGTTCAGATTCCCCACAACCATTTCAGTTGTGTAAGCACTGATTCTTTACTTGGTGCATTAGCTTACTGCATTTGCACTGATTTCTGCATTCCATTGCTTACTTTCTCCACTATTCACTGCCTTACATAGGATTCATTACTTTCCTAAAATTTTATAATCAAGAAGTAGTAGAAACAATACATAAAATATGATAAAAATCCTTAAAAGTATTATCCTTAGACGTGTTCTAGGATACTTTTCTTAAAAAAGCATCATTTTTTATTCCCCTCTAGGGATAACTCCTTATCTGCCTGCGTGAATACAACTGATCCACCTTGGCAAATAATGTCCCTACCAAATCTATATGCATGTATCAACCACTCTGGAGTAGTCTCTTCAATTTTCTTTCTTCCAAGTGAATTGATTACACTTTTGATTATATTTTCCCTCAGTTTCTCAAAGTCAGGCTGAAAGACGTATAATATAATTATTTTGAGCAGGAAAAAGCAAATTATGGAGAGGTTTTTGAAACCCAAGATGACAGAATGCATTTTTACGTAGCCTATCACTCAGAAAAGAAAAGGGAATGCAAATCATCACTTTTAGTTACTTTAAATATAGTCAAATGGAAGGAAGTGAAATCACAACACATTAACAATTTATTCATTTATATATCAAAAATAACTATAAAAAGTCTTGTTAAAATGACAGATTCATGTCCTATTCATATCAAATGACTAATAGCCAAAATACTATGATATTATAACAGAAACAGTACCTTCAATCAACAGCTCTTGTCCATGACTGCCCAACAACGTACGGGATAGGAAAGGGGCAAAATCAACAAAAATTTCTCGCAGTAGAGGAGCCACCTTTTCTAAGGCCCTTTCGAGCTTTGCAGTGATACTGCGAAAAAACAGAGAACATACATAAGTGGAAGAAAATTTACAATAAAAGTAAACAATGGCTAATCATATCTGCTTTCAACAAGGGCTGTAAGTTTCTTCAGAAAACAGAATGATCACAATTTGATTAACTTTACAGTGTTTAAAACATCTCATGCAAATGTAAATGTCATGTCAGATTCAGCAGTCTGGCAGCCTCACAAGTTTTAAAACATTCACAGAGTACTCCAAAACGGATAAATTTTTAAATATGTTACGAAGAAACTCAGATATTCAATTATACATCTACTGCACCTATCTCAGCTTATACTCATCTCATTCTTTTATATGCATTTGCAAGCATGAAAAGAGAAGCATGGAATGTTCCTTAATTTGTATTAGTACAATGAAAAACAGTGTTGTGACTTCTGTTTTATTCTTAAATAGCAGAAATAATTCTACTTTACCTGAGGACCCCAGTCTAGCAGCAGTATGAAAACCCTAGCCTATGCTGTTCTTTCTGAAGGACTGTATTCCTTTAGCTTCCTTTTATGTACAATTGCCCTCTCCCCTTCTAAACCTTGAGAAGGTGTAACACTTCCTCTCTATAAAAGTCTTACACCAAGATTTTAAATGTTCTGTGTTACTGCAAAGAAACGAACTATTAGTCAAAAATACAAATGAAGTGACATACACTCCTAGGCTACCAAGTACTTTTAGTGTTCTTTCTCAGACTGCTTGTGGCAGAGAATGTCTTCTTCATGCTTGAATTAGAGCCCCAAAATATTAGCCTTTAAAAGTACAATTATAGGAAGACGTTACAGTTATTGGTAGAACCTAAGAGAATGAACATTGATGCTTAAATTTTCAGTGGAATCTACGACATATAAACTTCAAGTAAACGTGAACTTCTTGATACAGGTCATATGAAGATATCTTAATTTAAAAACAAAGCTGACATTACGAACATATTGAAAGTTTTCCTCCAGTAACTTAAACTTTTTTTTTTGAGGTCATATAGCTTATCTGCTTTCAATGTGCTGCTCTCCTATTTCGTATTCAAACACTGATTTTCTCATATTATACGGAGGGATTCATCTCACCAACCTTTTGGATCTGACCTGTTTTAGATGATTACTTGAAGTCAGTTTCACCATGCTAAAGCCTCTATTGACTGACTGAAAAACAGGTGACTAGCTTAGATAGAGGTATACATTTGCTAAATGAGTCTTCCCCAAGCTTTTGCTGCTGAAGACTTCTCTAAACATCCTACAAGGGTTAACGCCATCAGTTTTCATAACTAAACTAAGTTTTTAAGGAGTTTTTGTAAATGGTTAATAATGTGTTTTTTCCTCTCAATTTGTGGACTTTCAAGGCAAATAAACTCTTAGTCACTTCCAAGATCAAGATTTTTTATTTTGTAAATTAAAAGCAACATATCTCAGAAAATAAATTACATAAAGGTGAGAAACTGGGATGGGGAAGATTAAAAGAGCACAGTAAGAGATAAAAAAATTACTACTTAAACTGTAAGTAAAAAAAACAAATAATTCTTTGGATAGTTCTTACTACTTCTTACTTCAGCTGATCACAAAAAAAATGTATGAGATTTAGTTCTATTGAATGAGAGATTTCAGTATACAATCTGTTTATTTCAATCTGTGAAAATAGAGGTTAAGACAAATCCTAAAAGGAATGGCAGAAACAGATTTTGTTAAACGCACTCTTATATACAGTATAAAACCTCAAGGAACCCCAAGCAACTCTTTTGAAATAGTTCTCGGTATAGTGCTGTTAGATCTAAATAAAAATCCAGATTCCTAAGACCAGCGATGTTTTTCAATGGAAGTGATAATATTCCAGATAAAGCCCTCACTTCAATAAAAAATGTACTGCAGAGCACATCCATCACTTTATGTCCTAACAGCCAAGAAATTCTGGAAATCTTCATGTTCCCTGCTGTAAAAAGCAACACAATAATAATATTTTTAAAATATACACTGAAGCTGTTATTTGAACCTTTTGACTTACATCCTTAGTTGGATGTTATCCTCAAAAGGACTAGTAACATGCTAATACATGTTCTATAGGTTTACCTTCCTCTTGCCAAAAGTAACATGATTATGAATGTAAAATGACAGGAGAATTTAATTTATTTGTTCTTTGTCCAGCAATACAGCCTTTCAGTTCTTTGGAACAAGTCAATACAACTTCTCTATGCCTACTTTTTTTTTTTTTTAATATCTAAAGACTCTTAAAGGACTTGAAATGAAGCATGATAATACATCACAGGATGCATAAGAAAGATAGAAATCCAGGGAAGCAGTACCAACCCTCAGAATTATCATTCTGAACTTGTAGAGTGATGGATACATTATTTTGAAGTGGCAGAAAAAAAACAGTTCTCTCAATTTTACGAACTTAAAATTGTATTAAAAGAAACATAGCTGGTCAGACAACAGCATTTCTATTTTAATATTAAAATATACTTTTTACAATAAAAAAGCAGAGCATTAGAATAAAAAAGCAAAATTCTTTATAGAATGACAATTTAAAATATTTAGAGAAAACTAAATGCTTTGCACAATCAAGATCAAGATGTTTAATTTCTGTACAATTATACAATTTCTGTAACTTTATGCAGTATCAATACAACAAGTAATAAGACCCATAATCTTAGATATCATATATAATTGCAATAGCAGAGGTGACAAAATATTTTGAGGTCTAGGCATACACTCTCCTAATTCCAAGTGTGCTACTTTCCCAGTCTCATTCCAGACCAAACCTCTACCTCCAAATCAAGACTATTTAAAGAGTCCAGGATCATTTTCCTGCTCACCCTTGCCTGCTCAGATCACAGCCATAAGCAAGCACCTTCTTTCCTGTGTAAGAAGGTTTAGATAAGTTGGCTTTCCCATAATGCTCTTACCCTACAAACAGCTCTGATTTTTAACCATGTCAAAGTTGGCACACAGTAAAACCAAAGCAAGAAAAACAAAAATTATCTAGTATCAAAATAAGTTCTAGATTTTTCTCAAGAAAAATTAAAAGAAAAAAGAGGGAGGGAGGATACCCATACAAAAGAGATTATATTAAAAAAGTAGACAATAAATTTAATTTAATGTTCCATACTGTTTTTTTCAGCCAATACTTTCAGCCTCTACTCAGAATACAATGACTTCTGAGTTCAGATTCTGACTTCAGAATTTAAAATCTTGATTTTGAAACACAAATTTTACATATGAAGGAGTTTTTGACTTCTAGAGCAAAAATATCTCAAAGTGCTTGTGAAAAAAATGAATGTTGCATCGGTTAAAACCATTTAAAAATAAATTTATTATAGAACCAATTTAATTTTGGGAGAGTTTAGTGTCTGACTTTAAAAAAGATTTCACCCCTTCCTCTCTCTCAGAGAAGCACTGTCCTCATATATGAGGAAGACAAGAGGTAAAGTAAGTGGTTTCATTAGGCGACAATTTTATTAACTGGTCTGGTAACAATCTAGCAATAAATAAAATCATAATCATCATCCTTTCCTTGATCATTCATACTTTTTTGGAGTGCAGCCAAGAGCCCTCATACTTTTAGACTGGTCCCACACCCTCTTCTGCGATTTCAACTGTACCACTTATTTGAGACTTCACAGAGGACGAGTAAAAGACGTACTGTACTGTGTGCTAAACCACTGAAGCACCAATAACTTCTTTATAGATTACCTAGGGTCCTTCATTTAAGTTTACTTCCATTCTAGTTTATTAGGGAACAGAACTCTAGTCCTATGGAAAGAGAACTTGCACAGCTTGTAAGCTTGTGAGCAGCCAGATTGGTTGCTGTCTCAATTCTCATCTTCCTAAGACTATGCCTCGAAGTGTCTGGCCAACTAATGAAGATTGGCAACTTCTTACCATGCTTGGTGCAACATTTTTAGAGCAGATATGTGTGCACTTTGAAAAGGTCCAAATTTTGTCTTTTATGTGTGCCCTGGGACAAATGAATATCTTTACAACATCATAAACTATAAAGAAATAACGTAATAGTAATTTTAGAGGGCTCTTTCCTGGCTGTCAGGCAGTATAGCAGAGGTATTACCTATTCCATGGCATCTGTCTCTTGCTTTACCAACTCAGATCTAGCATGCCATAGAGTTAACTGCATGAATACGTGTCTGGTTTCATCCCCTACGATTTATAGTAGGGCTTTTCTTTGCTCAGAAAAATTTGTGTGGGCCTCTCTTCCTACTTGCCAGTGCTCTGTTGCCAAGAATAGGTTGTTGTGCTTGCGTTCCACCCCGATAGGGAAACTCTTACTACCATTACTGAAAGACGTAAAAAGCCTGTGAACTAAAAGATTACTTTTAATGAAGTTTTAGTGTCTGTCATAATTCTCATAAGTTAGACTGTTCAGTGAAGTTTTATTTTAGTATGTGCATCCTTAGTACTGAACATGTAAAAAAGTATATGCTGAACTATATGAATAACTACAATAACATATTAAATAAGCTAAAAATATTTTTTTCTTTTTATACTATTTTGTATGAATGAGGTTGTTGTTGGAGAGAAATTATAATTAATATGAAAAGATACAACTTAGGTACCTCATGTTTTCAGCTGAATCCTCAGGCATTGGAGCAACAGTTTGGACAGCTGGGAGATTTTTGCTGGTAGCACCATTCACAAAGCTGGATGACGAAGAGGAAGAAGAAGATCCTGAGTCTACTGCACCTGTCCCCCAAAAAATACAGGACTTAATTCAATCTGAAAAGAAATAACTTTCAGATATTTTTAATATACTCATTGTCTTATTCAGCTACATAAAAATAGGTATTCTTACTTACTCTAAAACAATTAAAAACAGCACTGTACAAATACCATATAAATTAATTACTTATTTTGTGAGTATAACAATAATAAACTTAAGTAGCTACTGAATATCAGGCAAAATAAATCCTTACCTCGTTTTCATTATTCCCAAATTATATTCCAAAGATGAAAACATTTTAACATCATCCTGTAAAGCAAGATCTTTCTAAAATAACAGTATATTTAAGATGAGCTTGAGTGGAGAATACGAGGTTTAATTATTTTACGTTTTCTACATATACAAACTTCTTGGCTGCATAGTTTGCAACTACAGGCAGAAAACAAAAGAGAAATGAAAAAACGGCAGAGAAGATAGATAGCAAATGCATACTGCTTCAGGAAGTAATGGCAGAAACTAGTGTTTGAAGAATATTAGTACTCTAACAAGACTCTAACTCTACTTTTTCAAATTTCTTCCTGGAATCAAGGAGAATTTTAAGACCTCAGAAGTAGGGGATGTGGGGGTAGGCGGCTGATTTCAATGGGTTGCAAACAGCTGCCCAGAAAGGAGATGCCGACAGAGCGCACATTTATACTTATGTGCTCTGGGTCAGAGCTAAGGGCTAAACTTAGGCTCTAAGTGCCAATCTATCACGTTTGCTGAAACGGCAGCTGAGTTCAGACTCTCTGAAGGGAATCAGAAAAGGCATACAGTGATCACGAACAGTAGTGAAAAGCGCTGTGATAAATGCTGCTACTGTTCTGCCGCACCACCGCTGTGTAACACACCACTGCAGCAGAGGCAGCAACCAACAGCCTCGCAGATGGCGTTTGAAGCGTTAGGAAGCGCAGCGCGACCAGGGGCGAGCGGGCAGGCAACCGGGAAGCTGTAGCTAAGCTGGAGAACACCAGAATACCAAGTTTAGAGATCAACTGCATTATTTTAATAGTGTTTAAAAATGATAACTGCTAACTCCCTGTTGCTGGCTGGTTTTAGCAACTGACATTTTATTGTCCTTCACACAATACAGGGAGACTATTTTTTTTGCTTCCTACAGATAAAAAAATAAAGCTCTACAAAGCCTTTGCCTTTTTTTAACTGCTTAAGCAGCCAGCTGCCAATGAAGTAGAGGGGCCAAACGTCTTCTCCGGCAGCAGAGAAGAGTATTTTTTGTTCTCCCTTTGAATAAATTCTTGCTGACGAAAGAATTAAGGTATAGATTAGACTTTTGACTGGCCCATTTAAAATGGGTCAGTATCTGTATCCAAATAATGCAGAAATGAAGTAGGATTTGCTGGGCACGTTGACCACTGCTCAGGGCGTCGACCAGGTATTGATCGAGTCTGCTGTTTGAATATTGTGAATGGCAGGTGGGTTACAGCTGACATCTAGGGTTCTGCCTTGGATTAAACACAACTGTAAAGCATTCCCAGACGCACTGAGAGGGAAATACAAAACCATACGGTAGTCCATCCCTCCCAAGTTAGGAACCATGAAAACAGCTGGAAATGGGGGAGCTTACAAAAGTTTGCATAGAAGCATTAAGGTTTCATATAGAGGAAATTTTATATATATATACATATGTGTGTGTGTGCACGTGTGTGTGTGCTTATTTACATATGTATATGTGTATACACATATTATTTACATATTTATATTCATAAAAGGATGTTACATATTATATATTACTTTCTCTTTTTTTCTTTCACAATCAATCATTTTCAGTACATGTTCTTTAACCAGCTATAATCACTGGTTTCCAGACGAGAAGGCCAATCAGACCTAGAATCACCGGATTAACACAGAATTGGGAATCAGGGATATGAATCATAGAAATTAACACTAAAAACTACAGAAATAGGTTCTTATAAAAAGAGAGGAAGGAAGGAAACCCATCTCCCAAGAGATAAATTCAAAGGACTAAAAGGGCTTTAATAACATACATCTCATTACACTGTGACAGTGACACTGACTATGACAGTGATGACAGATGGTGGAATGTGAACACTGCAATCCATGAGAGAATAACTAAAAAAACACCACTCTCAAAACTCCAACACAGATTACCTCTCAAAGACAAAACTGTATGTGCAGAATATCTGTGAAATACTGTAAAAACAACCATAAACAGAAAGTTTGGGGGGACATCTAGTGTTTCTAAAAATTTGTATATTGTTTCTTTTTTACCATAGCAAAAAAAGGATTTAACGAAATGCTGTATACTAATTTAAATTAGTAATAATCCAGATAATTTTACAGACTTTACAAGTATGTAACCAGATGGCATCTGTATATTTCACGCATACATCTCAGAACTACACATATATGATCACTGTTTTAACTACTGTAGGCATAGTCCAATCAAAAATTGTGAAATGAGCATTTTTAACTAAAATATATTCGCATGTTTCCAGTGTGATACTGCTTTTTACTGTCATTAATGCATTCAGCATTTCTAGAATGTTGGTAACTAATTAACTGGCAAAGTAAGTAAGTTGGACAGCTTTTAAACTATTTCTTAAGAGAATTAATAAATAAATCATTCAGATGAATTCAGGCATAAAGTGCTTTACAAAATAAGATCAGTAAGGAAGTTCAGTACATATATAGTTTTGTGTAATTAAATCTGATATTTGCTGAATAACCATAAAATCAATACTTTCCCATAAATCAAGGAAATCCATAGAGCAGGAGACAAAGAAGGGTTGCATTAAAAAAAAAAGATATATGATCGAAAATCATGACTGTAATCCACAGGGAATATACCACGGTATCAGCAATACTGTCCTTTACCAAGAACATTGCTGGGGAAATGATTGATTTTTAAAGGGAATTACTTACCAAGAATAACTACTACATTCCAGCTAAACACTTCAAATCTTAAATCACTGAGAAGACTGAAAATCTTACACTAGTCAGGATCATTTGGAAAAAAAGATTTCCAGTGCAGGATATTTTTTGCATAATATAAAAGTACCTAAAAGGAAATCCATTCAAGATTAACAGAAGTGGCTACACAAATGGAACTGTTCGTAGAAGTGAAAACATTAATCAGCGCATTCCTTCCTCCCATCTGCCTCAGGATAATTAGAATTTTAGATTTTTTTATTCTTAGAAAAATCAAAGTTCTATTACCGGGTATTAAAGGTAATCTGTAAAGGGAAAGAAAAAAAAATGAGTGTATCTTCATTTTATTCCATGAAGTAAAAGGATGCCAAAAGCTTCCCCCTCCATTTTCTGTAACCCCAGGGAGATTTCATTTCCTCAGCCTCTGAGTGAAGTTGTGATATCCTTGAAGAGAGCTCTTCTCTGAAGTGCTTTTGCTTAGTTTGGAAAGAAAATAGACCATGGCCAGAAATTTAAAAGGCGTTTAAGTAAACATTAGTTGCTCTCCCAGTAAGGATTCATTTCTGATATAACCTTCTACAGTCTCCATGATCTACAGACTCTTTCAAGATAGACAATCCCATCAGTATTATTAAAAACAATTAAAAGAAAGAAAGCCTTGTCCTCCTTGCATAGGTCACTCAGTGAACAACTATGGATAAGACTTGATTACTGTTAAATTAAGTTGGTTCTTACTGAAAAACTTCCCTAAAATCATATAATAGTTTTTACTGACAAATAAATGCTAAAAATATTAATTCTTTGCAATCTAGGATATAGTCACAAGTAGCTAGTAGTCTTTACTTTCTTTGACATTTAAGGAGCAGTTAACATCCCTCCTTAATCATACTAACATCCTTTATTGCAGAGCACTGGAGAAGCTAATTCATTTCCATTCTAAACCATGCTTACAAAATAATATTAGAGCTATTTATTCACTTATTTAAGGCTTTGCAAGTCCATTTTGTGCTACCAAAGGTTATAAACATACACGAAGAGAAAACACTGTCTCTAATAAAGGACAAGATTTAATCTTTCCACGTTCTTACTTTAAAGGCACAAAAACAACAGAGAACATGAGTAAAAAATAAAACAAAAACTAAAAATAACAAAACAAAAAACAAATAGGAAAAGATGAGTGTCACAAAAATATTTAAGGACAATACCTGTTGTATTAATCATACTTTTTGGTGTAGCTCCTGTTGCAGCAAATATATTAGGCGTACTACCCGGTGGCAGTCCACTCCCAGCTGTAGCGGCTCCAACTGTGGTAACAGCCAGGCTACCTGGTGGGGGTTTCTTCACCGGTACAACCACGCTCCTGTTGAAAAGAAGCAGCAGATTACCAGAACTGCACAATGGAGTTACCAAGAGTTTATGTTTTTCATAGATTTCCACTTTGTTCTACGGCTGTTGAAAAGGAACACATAAAAATGTCCACATGTTTTTTTAACCTTTATGGAATAGCTGTAAAGTTAAACTCCCATATTCCAATGCATGGTTTGCAGTTCCATGTGATTAGGAAAAACTCATCTAATTTCTCTTTCAATACCCATAGAACGGAAACACCACACCACTTGATTGGTATGATGTGGAGACCGGTATTAGCTCTTGAGTTCCAGATTTGCAAAGAAAACGTTAAGTGTTGAAACTATGGTAGCATACTAGTAGTATTTGTATGTGCAGTATTAAATGAATATAGGTCATTTGATGGTCTCACCAAAGCTATCTGAGTTCACAGGGTTTTTTTCAGGTCACCTGAACATTTAAATACAGTACTTGATTCTTCAGTTCTTCACGTATTTCCTACTTGCAAAAATAGCTGATTATCAAACATAATTGTTCACTGTCTTGTGGAAAAAATTTTTATTCATTTAACTCAACAACACATAGATGTAAATGGAATATGCAAAGTGTAATATAAATATTTAGCTGCAAAATATTGATATTATTCTTATTTTAGTATAGCATTTAAAAGGCAGTCCTGAGAGTCTGTAAGCTTTTAGGAAGAAAATAGGGCTTTCATACAAAAATATATGACTTACTGCATTCAAACAAATACATTTTCATCTAATCTTAAAGTGTTCTTTTCTTTCAAATTTCAAAACAAAACCCTTGCTGTACACAGTAAAAGGGAAGAAGGAGGAAAAGATCACAGGGACATTTAATTAATACTTTTTCAACATCGGTCATCTGTGATAGTAAGACAGGTATGTTTACATATATCCACCAGTATTCAATATTTCATTTCCTATTTAGTATTTCCATTTCTTTATTATACAAAAAAACTATTAATAAAAACTCTTTTTCAGTAGAAAATGTAAGTGAAAACCAAACCTGAAACAGATAATTTTTGTAAATGTTAAAAATAAATTTTCATCATTACACACATGCTTTCTAGCTAGCAGATATACTTTTTTAAAATTAAAAAAAATCATTGTGATCAAAAAAAAGACCAAGAAAATACAACTATTGGTAATAGGGCCACATTTTGCAACATAAGTTCCTTTATTTATCCTTATTGACTAAGCAAATGAGACTAGGAGTCTCATTCCCAGTTTGTTTTAAACACTGCACCTCAATTAGAGGAACTGGAATGAAAACAGTCACTCAGGAAAGGAATCCTTTCTGTTAGCTAACAAAAGAAAGAAAAGGATTCTTATGAAGACAGAAAAAATTCATACAGGTTCATTTGAACTGATAAATATTAAATCTAAATCTAAACATAAACCTAAATTTAAAATTCCAAATGCTTTTGCTAAAAAAATTATTAGAATGTAAAGAAACTCTAGCTCTAAGCTCAGGGAAAGGTATAAGTAATGCAAAAAATGATTTTTCTCTTCTGTCTATAACAAAGAAATATTTATCAAAGTAGTATAAGCTGTAAGACATTTTTCCGTATTCCAGAAAAAGCACAACCAAGAATAATGAAGAATGTGGACAGATATTCGCAAGAAATTGTGTATTTGCTACCTTCTTGGAAGCTTAGAAGCTAAAACCATATCCAGTTGACAAACTGATTGAGTCATCAATTGCTTCACCAGACATAAGCATCTCTATGCCAAACACAAGCGTATGTGGACAATAGGCTGGTTTTTATGAAGAACCCTGAAGGAAGCATCAGTCTCAATAGCCTTCAATAATCTTTCAATGTAGTAGTAAAACAGCATAAATTACCTCACAATTACCATGAATCAAAAGGTGCATAACAACCTTTTACAGTACCATAATTTGTTTATATCTGTCTAAGCCCTCAATTTCCATGGATTTTAATTCAAAGATAGTCTAAATTCCTTCCAAGTAGATGTAATTGATGATGCAAACTGCATTGGTGATGCTATTGTGATTACATACAAATGTTATTTTTTTGTGATCTCTGCTTATTTTGAAGTGTATGAAATGAGCCATAAACATTCTTTTTCACTCTTTTTAGGAGGGATCACAGCATCAGTTAATGTCCCCATATTCTGAACAACAGCTTTCATTAGCACCCTGCAGCAGGTATTGCAGAAAGGTTATCCTAGGCATAACGACGGTTTTCTAACTCCTACCATTTATATTAGGTGAAGAGGAGTTTGCACAGTACTCTACTGATTAAGATATGCAATCAAAAAATAATTGTTTTGGTTTGTTTTTAATAATCTCTCAATTCCTGCTGATACAAAGTGTTTACATAGCAGCATCTACAGGCAATTATAGCCAGATTTAAACATGTAGATTAATCTGCTCCTTAACACTACGGCATTCCCTAAAATTAACTCCTATGCACACATAAAGATCTCTAGCTCAATTAATATTTCAGTCAAATACTTGAGTTCTGGCTGTTCAGCAATACCAAGTACTCAAGAATAGAGTCCCTTATGGTGCCATATAAACATAAAAAGAAATTAGAACTTGTATCTTGAACAAAAGCATCTCTTGATTGCATTAATTGCAAAGAAATTACTATCTAGAGAACTGCAATAAAAAGTCCAAGATTGATATGAATGGAGAATGAATAGGAATGTCTGGGTTTTGAGGGGCAAGAAGGAACGCACAACTCCCAAAAGTCGCTGAGAACGGTCCATGTTAATGGTATCTATATCAGCAGGTCATCAAGACCCGAATAGGAGAACGTGTGTAGTTTCAGAAGATATCCGTATCTGGAGACCAAAAACAGTGAACAAACTCTGATGATTGACAAAGGTGGAGCAGGATGGAGACACTGATGACTGCCAGCTCCAAAAGGGTACAAAAAGCCATACCCAACCCAAGTGACATGAGGAGGACTTGATGAATCCTGGACCTAGCATCGGGACACAAGCATTGTTGTACCTGACTGCTGGACGGACAGCTTGAGCACCCTGTGCTGGTGCCTGACTGCTGGACAGACTCCTTAGACACACACACATTCTAGTGCCTGTGAGCGTGAGACTGTGAAAGTGAGAGTAAAACACATTTTCTTTCGGTATTTAGTTTAAATAAAATCACCTTCCCTTCCTATAAGATTTGGCACTCGTATCTGCTAAACTGCTGATAAAATATTGCAAAGGTATTTCCTACTACTTTACCAAAGCTAAATTCAAAGTCTTCCTCTTTATCTTCAGAAAGCTCAGTGGTCTTTCAGAGTACCTGAAACATCACCTAACTTTCCAAAGCAAAGATCCTAATCAGCTCCACTTCCTGGACACAACGGACAAGACTCCCATAAAGGCAAAGTCTACAGACTTTTCTCAAGAGTTCAGTTTGAGGCTGAAAATCAGCTCCCACGGGAAGAATGGACAGTCCCCCATATTATGTAAATATTAACGCTCTACCTATTGCTGACTTTCTTTTGTAGGTCTGAATGAGGATGTAAGACAGTTCAGGTGCCAATAAATTACAAATTATAAGAAATATCATGAGAAACATCACTCCAATAAAAACAGGCAGGATCAGTGAGACATTTCTGTTCTCGCCTGAAGGAAAACACAGTTTTATGATGTCATACATGATACACCTTGTCAAAATGTCTCATTTCTACCAATAAAGCAAAATACTGTGTGTGAATACAGAATGACATGCAGAGGAAGGTTAAGAAACTATATGAACAATGAAGCGGGGTGGACAAAAATGTGGAAAAAGGTTAGTGTAGCAGCAGAACAAGAAAGGTGAAAGAGAATGACTGACTACTTTCAAAAAAAACTCTCAAAACTTTCTTTAGCCAATCAATCAATCAACCCACTCCAACAGTATACACAGTGAGAGCAACATGTAAATCAAAACAAAACTTTATGTAAGAACCACAATTATTTACCTGCGGATAACATGAATGGAAGACTCTACCGTGATAGATGCTGTACATATATCTTTGTTGGACATTCAGGTATTTCTTTCATTAAGGAACAAAAATCTATAGATTAGATGAAAAGGTCTTACATATTTCTGTAATTTCCTTTTAGGCCTTTTTTTTTATACATGTTTCAGATTTCCAAAAATGTTCCAAACTGATCCACGCTTTCTGAATCACATCATCATGGTACCAAATGATCCTTAATGATTTAGTAAACTAAGGCTTAGTAGTAATTGGCAATGACAACTGATTCTATTTTTCTGTTCATCTAGTAGTTTACAATTCTATTATGAGTTGTGACTAGCAACCACTAGCCTGTTGCTGTGTGAGTGTCCTTCTCAAATTCTAAACCTACTCCTGAATATTTAAGCTGAGTGTCAAATCTACCTACGCATCACTCATGCATTGCCAGTTCATCAACTTCCCTCAGCAAATGGAACTGTAAAAAGAGAAAGCGGAAATTAAAAAACCCCTCTCAGTCTGATCCACATTGCGTATCTCTTTGCAAGTTCAAACACAATCTTTTATCCATTTTAACATCCAAAGGTCCTCAAACTTAAGTCACTCTGGTCAATCAAGAAGTCAGAGACAGGCTTCCAATATGAGATTTTGTGTACTGTCTATATGAGCATTGGCAGTTATGGCAGAATTACTGTACACTTTTCTGGGATGCATGAAACCTTATAAGGCTGAATTAATGTTCTTGCTCCTCCATTCCTCTCCTCATAGCAGCCGAAAGTATGAGAATTTTCAAGAAGTACTTTTTCAAAAAGTAGTATGGATTTCAAGAAAATTTTTCATAGAAGTATTCCATGTCAAACAGCAATTTCTGCCAGATGTTTCAGAAAAAATCACAGTAGATAAATGAGGCATAGTCTGATATTACATCTCATCTTGTTTCTACAGTTAAATTAACACAACCTCTGAAAAGAAGGTTTAATAACTCCTGTCTAAAATTTATGCATGTTCTCCATATTTATACAAACGTTCAGTCCTTTATAAAACATGCA